GCCTCTCCCAGAGGCCCCTTCAAAACCCCACTGCGGCCTAAGCATCCTGGGTGCTGGCAGGCAGATGGGGGCAAAGATCTTTTCTTCACTGACCAATGTCCTACAGGAAACAACAGCTCCACAGAGTCCCTGCCTCCTCACCTGCCACATAGATTAGAGCTGGGGACTGTCCCTGCATGATGTGTGGACAGAACAGGGTCTGTCCATTCTTACCTCTGCCTGTCCTCCCAGGCCCTTTGGGAGGCCAACAGCTGCTTTCTCTACCTTGGGGAAGAGAACTCCATATTCCTCAGCCTCCATTAGCACACAGTTCTCAAACACAGCCGCAATAAGAGCTGCCCAGTCCACTTGTAAAGCCAGCTTTACCGTCCAGCCGTAAAAAGAGAAGCAACACCCTGAACAGCCAAGTCAAGAAGCATCCTTGCAGGACAGTAAACAATACACACAGATAATCCTGTTTTAACAAAAAAGTAATTAAGACAGAAATGGGCTCTTTTTACTGCAGGGAACAAAATCCCATGAACTCAACTTTAGTTTTCACTGGAATAAAGATTTACTGAGTCTCTATGTGTCAGACACTGCTGCAGCAGCCTTCATCAAAATTTCATTTCTTCCTTACAGCAGTGTTAGGCAAAGATGAAAGGAAGGCTCCGTAGAGTCACTGACAGCCCAGACTTTCTGCTAGCCCGAGCTCTTTCTATCATCCACCGCTGCTTTCTCCTAAATGTCCCCATGAGCTTATCTGCCTTCTCCTAAATGTCCTCATGAGGGAGGGTGTAGGTGGATTCTGGACTTCAAAGGAATTAAAAGACGTGGTCCGTGGCTTTCAGGTATCCTACAAGGTGAGAGGATAGCCCAAGTCTCCGTCTTCCTGCTGTGCTCCCCTCCCCCTCAGCTTACAGGGCTTTTTTCCCTGTGTGTCTTCATTGACATCTCCAACACTAGTCACAGGGTCCTGCACTGGGTACAGGGTCCACAGCACTCAGCACGTTCTCTAGCAGACCATTGCCCACTCCACATTGTGATCGCTTGTTTGTGGTCCCTCTCCCTTAACTCACCATAAGCTTCTGGAGGGCAAGGGCAACCTTTCATCTGTTCACCATTGATTTTCCAGTGCTTGGCACATAGTAGGTGCTCAGCAAAGATTTGCTGAATTATTGACAGAAAGATGGATGGATAGATGGATGGATGGATGGATGAATGATGATTTATCATCCCCTCAAAGTCGCCATACCTCTCTCTTCTTGACAAGTTAACTTACCTGATTTCCCAATTTGTCTGCAGTACCATCAAAAGACAGTGAGTTGTAGAGCTTTAAATCTTCTAACTTTATATCCTGCCTCAATCATTTACTAACCATGAGATGATATGCAATGTATTTAATCTCTCTGAGCCTTAGTTTTCTCATTGTAATATGGCATTTCGAGGCTTACTAATAATGCTTATAATTCCTGGAATACACTAGGAGATAAATAAATGGTTACTATTAGTCTCAGTATATATAACAATATATTAAATCACTTATACTCGTCTTTGGTGTCTCTTTTGTGTTCCACCCCCTCTTCCATCCACAGTAACTGTTAGATACTTAACGCTATCTACTCTTTCTTCCAAATATCTTCTGCATTTGTTTAAATACCCACATCTCATCTGTCCATATAATGCCGTAGGTTCTAACCAGTCCCTCTGCTTCAGGTTTTTCTTTCAATGAATGCAGCATGCACTCCCCGTGGTGGCTCCAGAATTCTGAGAGAGGAAAGGTTTAGGGTGGCACTCTTTGGCTCCAGGAAAGTGCAGAGAACAAGGGACAGGTCTCGAACCTGCATTTGCATTTCTCTGTACCAAACACTAAGTCAATGTCAATTGTCCATATAAGGGGATAGGGAGCTTGAAGGCTATAAAAGGTTTGCTAAAGTTTCCCACCCTTGGCCAACCTTTGGGGTCACCTCTGGGCAGAAGCTGCCAATTTACACTTCCTAAAATATTGTTCTCATCAAGGTACTTTTTTTGTTAAAAATGTTTTGATGAGTGTGGAGAAGCTTCAGAACAAGTTCTAGAATCCTTTGCCTCACATTCAGAACCCTTCACAACTTTACTTCAGGCCAACCGTTCCAAGACATTTTGCTCCAACACCAAATTTTCATTTCATTTCATTCCGTGCCTCCTGAATACACCAAAGCTCTTCCTAAGTCCATGTCTTTGTCCAGAAACGCCCCGCCGTTGGCCCTCCCAGGTCCTCTCATCTAATGAAATTCTGTTCACCCCCAGGCCTGGCTCCAGCATTGTTCTCCTTCGCAACCACCCAGCCTGGAATGCTCCTTCCTTTCTTGGAATTCCCATTGTTTCTTCTTTCAGGATAATTTACTCTGGCACTTAACTATAGAACTTTCTTGTAGTGTTGTTGAAACATTTCACATGTTGTTTTCTCTCTCACTGGACTGAGGGGTCCATTTAGGATAAGGCCAGCCACATACCTCTTTTGATCCTCCATGACACCCAGTCCATCGGTGTAGAACCCAGTGTAGGCAGGCAACGGGCTGCTGAGTTTGAAAGTATCCCCAGAGGCACTCTCATGACAACAGAAAAGAAGCTTCTGATTTAGAGACAGTCATCTCCAATGGCCCAAAGACCCTCCCCAAGGAATATGTCAAATACCTACTGGCTACAGGACTCTGGACCTGGGAAAACTGAATGTTTATGACCCAGTCTCAGCCTAGTCTAATCATTTCCTGAGCTTGTGACTAAGGACCTAGAGCTGAAGGCGTCTTGTTTCCTCCAGCTTGAGCAATGTGGAATTAAATACACATCTGCTTACACCCACACACATCTGTCTTCATGTACACACAGCAATGGTGTTACCAGGTTCTTAAGAAAAGCCACTAGCTGTGGTGGAGTAGAGGCAGGGCTTTAAAAACTTTTACAAGAACACCTCCTCTAGAGAGAAATAAAAATGGAGATTCTGGGTGAAGGGCATCTAAGAATTTTTGAGTTATTTTTGCAATTTTTCTGTAAGTCTGAAATGACGTGAAAAATTTTTTAAAATTGTGAAGCGGAAACAACAAAAAAATCACTTGCTCTATGTAGTTTCCCTGCCTCCTTCCTCAGCCTTTAGAAGAATTAACATTTTTTTCAATGCATTCATATATAAGTTATAGATATGAATATATCTATTTTCCCTATTTTAAAAGAAGTATAAAATAGAAAATAAAGTTACTTTAGAGTCAAGGAAACCTTTTAAATATTTTAATATAAAAATGACAATATTTTAAAATATTAAATTAGAGTATTAATTTTGGAATACGAATTGAGGGTTTTAATATCTTGTGATCTGGAGCAAGATATTTAGCTCTAAGTTACAGTTTTCTCATCTTTAAAATGGGATTTAAAAAATGACTATTCCTTAGCACTGTGATAAGAATTAAATGAAAAGATAAATATTATGGTTCCTGGCCCATAATTGGTGTCCAGGACATGCTCGTTCCAAAGTTTTTTTTTTTTAAATGTCGATTAACAAATTCTATTCACTTCGGGTCCTCAGAGTGGATGCATAATAGTTACTGAAGGAGTGTTGAGTGAATGACCGCCACAATTCTACTGAAGCAGCTCTACAGCTGGTCCCAAAGCCCCGAGAGCAGCCCCTGCTTTTGCCAAACCTTCTGAGTGACCTCCTCAGAGTCCCATAGGCCATCCAGGCCTCTGCATTCCTCATCTCTGAAATAGGGCTGGTATTCATTACTACTGGGAAGAACTAGCTGACCAGAGAGGATTAAGACCCCTGGAGAGAGGAATGACCAAACAGGGCGAAGGTGTGCCGGGCAGCCTCCCAGCCCCGCGGGGCTTCATTTCTTCCAGCAGCCCCGCTTCTCAGAGCCCTGGCCCCAGCTCCCAGTACCGGCTCGGCTGAGGCCGACGGTGAGCCACTCGGGCTGAGGGAGAAGGCCCCCCCCCCCCAGGGACACGCAAAGACGGGGACCAGAGCGCAGGTCCAGGCTTTATGGGAGGCCCAGGTCACAAATGCACCGCATGGAGCTCCAGGCCTTGCAGACCCTCGCGCGACCGTCGCTCTCCTTTCCTCCTCTCGCCCCCTCCGGCCGCCGCCGAGCGGCAGGGACCTGACGGGCAGCACCCCCAGCGGCCGACCCCGAGGTCTCCGGACCCCGCCCCTGCCCCCCTCGGGCCGCCGGCCTCCTGTCCTCCGCGGGCCTCGTTGGCTTGGTCCCTGGAGCCCGGGAGCGCTGACCCTCGCACGAAGAAAATCCCATCCCCCCTGCCTTCTTTGCTTTCTCAGAGCGAGTGGTGCGTATTTTGCCAGGGCCACGTGCAGAGCGGTTTGCCGCGCAGCTCCCCGACGGCGTTGCGCTCCGGGTCCCCGCTCCCCGGGGTGACGGGCGGCGGAGCTCTGAGGACCGGCGACTGTGTGCTCCGACTGCAGGAGGAGGAAGGGCGGAGGCGAAGGGCCGGGGCAAAGCGGGGCCGCCGGGCCCACAGTGGCCGTTGGTTAAGCGGGAAGAGCTGTGCGTCGGGGCGGTCGGCAGCTCCCAGCACAAACCCGACCGCGAGGGCGAGGAAGGAAGCGAGAGGAGGGACGCGGCGGGAAAGGGGAGGCCAGAGAATGTAAAGGAGACCTGGAGAGAGATGGGAGAGGAGACGGGACAGATGTGCGAGGGGGACGCCGGGGGAGCACGACGTGAGAACCGAGAGGAGCTGCCGAGGCCTCGTCCGCGGGCTGCCCGCCCAAGAGTGACCGATTCCCTGCGTGCCGGCACTAGCCCTAAGCCGAGCGCTTGTGGACGGCCCCCGGTGCCCCCAGGCGCTCCCCTGGCGCGAGGCGGAGTCCGGCCCCACGGCGCGCCCCGCACGCGAGGAGGAGGGAGCGAGCGCCGAGCGGAGGAGGAGCTGCGGTGGGAGGCGACCGTGTGGTTCCAGCTCAGTTTTTTTTTTTTTGCACTCTCTTTCTTCACTCCTTTTTCTTTCCAAACAGGGAAAAGTGTTCCACGAAGCGGTGGCGCCTTTCCGCCTCGCCTTTTCCTCCCCGACCCCGGTCCGGGTTGTCCTCCGGGCGCGAGCTGGTGGGGCGGGCGCTGGAAGCCCCTCTGCGCCCGGGAGCGCAGGGCGCAGGGGATCCGGGGCGCGGGGCCGATCTCGCGCCCTCCGATGGCTGCAGCCGCCCCGCGCGCCCCGGAGCCAGGCAGCGGCTGAGCGGGGGAGTGCCCGCGTCCGGAGATCGGGATGTCCCTCCTTCCTCTCTTGCTAGGTAAGTGCTTCTGGGAGGGCGGGACTGTGGGGGGCCGCGGGAAAGGCACTGGTTCCGAATGCATGTCCCTGCAAACCCTGGAATGGGCCGACTGCTCGGTCCCTGGCTCCTGGCCACGGAGGAGCACATCTGGCAGCCGAGGACCGCCTCTGCGGCCATCGACAATGTCTCACACATCTGGGCCCTTGAGCAGGCTTGGGGGTGGGACTGTTTCCTGGTGGAGTTCGGCCGGCCGTGAACCGTTTGATGTGAAGGGTCCTTTTTAGGGTGGCGGTTAGTTTCAGGAATATCTGGAAAAACTGGAGAATTGGGGGAGGGAAGGTTTATCCAGGAATTTTTGTGCCAGGTTCCTGAGGGTGGGGGGAGCTTTTTTGTTTCAAACGGGCGCCTCAGGGCTCAGATTAGAAACAGATGTGTTGAAGGGTAAGAGGAAGGGAATGGGGGAAGAGGCAGGGGAGGAGAAAACATAGGGGAGAGGAAAGAAGGGCAGGGTGCCTGGAGCCCCAGGAAGGTGACACGCTGAGAGTGACACGGGGAGGAAGGGAAAGCCAAGGGAAAGGGTTGGGAAGGAGAGACAAAAAGAGGAGAAGCAGAAAGTGAAGAGCAAGTCTGAGGGAGACCATGCAAAGGGAGTGTGCAGAAGACGGAGAAAAAATGGAGGAGGAGAGACAGAGCCGAGAGAAGTAGAGCAAGTGCCACTTTTTCCTGAAACAGGCTGTGGGGCAAAGAGAAGACTCTGACTGTTCCCTTCTGGTGGCTCCCAGGCAGGACTCCCGAGGCCTCAGAGGCTGATGTGCCTGGGCTGGAAGCAGGCGGGTTTGCAGGACAGGACACATGGGGGACATGTGTGTGAGGCAAGAACCCACGATGGGGACTGGGGATATCTGAGGGGCCCAGGCAGGGAAAGCTGCAGAGAAGTCATGCTCTGCATGGTGGAAGCGTGGGGTCCACCTGGAGACAGGACTGAAAGTTAGCTTCAGTTCAGGCAATCAAAGAGCCAACTAGGTGTGGCAGAGAGTGAGCGCACCCTGGACACCAGGCCACAGGAGAGCTGGTCCTGGTTTTGAGGTGGGTGACCTCAGACAACTTACTATCCAGAGCTTCCATTTCCTTAGCTCTAACAAGAGAACTAGATGGGTCCTAAGTCCCTTCTAGCTCTGATAGCCTACAACACCAGGAGTTTGAGGGAGGCTGATGTTCTGGAAGAACCACCAACCAAAAGTGCATGAACACTAAAAAGTCACCCTGAAGTAGGTGGTGAGAGCTCTCAGTCTTTTTTGAAAACTTACAAACTGACTAGATCATTTGCTTGCCTGTCTAGGCCAGCCTCAGGCCAATAATCACTCAGGTTAGAGGAATAAAAGAGATAGACTAACCTAAACTATTGCTCAAGTAGGGCAGGTGGGGAGGTGCTATTTCCTAAGCTCTTTTAGATATTTAGCCAAGTATTGCAATACTGCCTCTGTGACCATCTGGCATAGCTGGATGGTACCTCTGTCACCTTTACTGGCCTCTATCACTAAGGTACCGATCACCAGATGTTCAATAGAATCAAACTCTGGAGCCGTCCTTTTAAAAACAGCTAGCATTCATTAAGCCCTCATTACACTGAACTCTTTATATGTACCATCTTGTTAACTCGTTTGTTCTTAACACCAGCCCCACTGGTGATCCATTAGTATTACCCTCGTTTTACAGATGAAAAAATGAAGGTATAAAGAGATCAGGTAACTCTCAAGGCCACAAGCTCATAATTAGCAGAGACAGAACTTAAACGTAGGCCATTTGCTTCCACAAGTACTCACTAAAGCACCATGCTGGACAGTTTTCTGTCACTACAGAACAACTCTTACAGTTCACCGTAGCCAAGTCAAGTTCAGTCCTCTTCATCGAATGTGAGATGTCAGCATGATCCTGCCTTATAGGAGGGATCTGGGGAAGGGAAACAAAACTAACAGTTTTTGAGCATCTGCCCTATACCAGCCCTGTATTGAGTATAGTTTACAGTGAAAAGTGACTTTAGGCCACATGGTCAGTTGAAATCAGCTGGCATGCCAGGATGTGAACCCTGATGATGGTCATCCTCTTAGCTCATGGGAAAGGAGGAACCGACCAAGACATGGATCCAAAGATGTCACTGATTCACTGGTCCTTCTGGAGACTCTGCCTTTATCAGAGGAGCTACCTCTCATGATTTCTTTGGCCTGTCTTTATAACACTGTTACAAACTATAGGCCAGGTAGAAGAGAAAGAGGACTGCTGACTTAGAATTCTGCACAACTGAATTTTCATCATTCACACCTACAAATAAGCTTTTGCCACATCTAGGCCTTTGTTTGGCATAGTCAGACTCATAATATCCCAGCTCCAAGTTGATTAAACTGTTCAAGTAAGAGACAGGCATCTGAGGGGAGCAACACTGAGGGAAGCTGTCTACGATTGACACCCCCGCGTGGGTCAGAAGCCCATTGGGGTAGCAGTTCTGTGGGCTGAATTAGCCCTAATTCGCAAAGTGGTTTTGAGCCATGGGATGCTTGGGCACTCTTTAGCAAAGCCAGAAATAAAACCCACAGACTTGCCTGCATCCTACAGTCATCTACTCGTCCTTTAAAGGGGCAGTTCCGGGCTGCTTCTGATCACGGCTGGCATGATTTCTGGCCTTTTTTTTCTAGGGAATGTGAAGTATCAGAGGGGAGTTGGGAGGGCTGAGAGAGATCATCGTCTGAACAAGGATGGGCCAGTTGACTCCTTGCTCTCTTGGACCTGCCAGGGCATGAGGTCCAATGCCCCGCCTCTCCAATGTGAACGAACAAACAGTGCTGAGTCACACAGAAGAGAGGGTGTTCCGGCCCTGGCCCCTCTTCTGACCACCACCTCATCCCCTCCCCTGCTGTTCAGGTCCTCATTATTTCACCTTACCTTCTCTCCTGGACACCTGTAATAGCTGCCACATTCGTGTCCTAACTGTCCTCCCTCGTCCATCCTGCACACTGCTACCAGAGTAACCTTGCAAGGCAGCTGGTATAATGCAAAGAACTGGGACTGGGAATCTGGCAGGCTCTCTGGGTTCTCATTCTGAGTTCCTTGTCTGTAAAATGGGGATGGGGTGGGGAAATCTTGAATTCAAAGGTTATGTAATTCTATGTACTTCCTCCCTTCTTCCAAAAACCTTTAATAGTCCCAATTCCTTTAATATTGAGTACAAACACTTCATTCTGGTACTAACCATTTTACACAATATCATACACAACTCCTCCTCCCCAACCCCCAGATAACTCTCCAGGGAACCTGGATTACTCCCTGTGCCCTAAAAATGCCTCATGCTTCTTTCTAATTCCATGCTTTTTTTATGATAATCCTCCACCTAAATAATGAATATTAATTATTAAGAATAAAGCCTCCTTGTCCTCTGCTCCTGCCGATCAAAATCTTGTTCACCCTCCAAGTCTCACCTCAAATGCCATTTCCTCCATATGCCTGTGTATGGTTTCACCAACCGAACATACTTTCTTTCCTTCCTTTGAATTCCACTAGCCGCCTTCTTATGCTGCTTTATTTATTATGATCCAAATGCTTATCTGATCCCGCCCGTTAGAGTGTAAACTCCATGAAGACAGGAACTATGTCTCATTCATCTGTGTACCACCTTCCATACCTGGCATAAACCAAAAACTTGTGAACTATTTGTTAAGAGATAATTGGATTTTTAAAACATTTGGAAACTTGAAGGTCAAGAGAGGTGAATGATGTGGAGGATTATTAGTCTTTGTGGCACAGCATAACTGTGAGGAGCCCAGGTTCAATTCATCCGGCTTTTGTGCTTCCTTGTCCAAACGGGACCAGTCCTATTTTTAAAAAGTTATACATAGAACATTATAGAGACGGGGACCAGATAATATATTTGTTATACAAACTTATTTTGTTATATGTGCTAGTACCAGATTAACAATAGACTTCCCTGTTGAAACTTCTGCTAGGATGGGGAGGGAGGTTGGTTTCCCAGCAATGAGTTTGAGGAAGGCACGAATGCATAATCCATCAGTCTATAGTGTAATGGCAGGTCTCAGTAGGATTCCATGTCCTTCCCTCATCTTCCCACATTAATGATGATGGTCATAATAATCTTATATTCCCAGAAGGCTCATATCTTGTCTCATCCTGTTTTTGTCTTGTGCTTGGCTGGGCAGTGCACACATGAGTGTATTTCATGACTGTATCTGGGGATGATGAACTAGACAGACATTTGTTAAAGGTAGAGACAAAGATTGTCAGAACTGGGGAGAAGCTAAGAGACTATCTAAATCAATGGTTCTTAAAAGTTTGAGTCCCAGACCCTCTGCTAATCTGATGAAAACCATGAAACCGCTTAGAAAAATATACATACACATCAAATTTTGCCAATAATTTCTAGGGGCTCACTGGCCTCCTGATACCCTATCTTGGAACCCAAGTTAATCCTTGATCTAAATCTACCCCTTCTTTTTTTTTTTTTTTGGGGGGGGTGTCAATGCAATGTATTAATCTACTGGCTAGTCAAGAAGTAAGAGAGAAAGCCCAAATACCCAACACTAGGATTCGCACAGGGAAACTGAACATAGATGTGGATGAAATTGGACTCTAAGG